CAGAGCACTGTACTATAGGAACATATTTCGCCACCTGCAGAACAAGCAGTTCCCTTCTAAAACCAAAGGTGGCAGCAGTGATACTCTCAGGTGAGATGTCCTAAATAATTAGATTTTTCTGAATATTTTATATCAAACACAAATTAACAGCAAAATGAAGTAATTTTTAAGTAATTTTTCACATCAGTATAGTAGCCATAAATGAAACAAACAGATCTCATGCTCTTTTAACTAAGCCTTGTGTGTTATGGTGATAAAGGGGCAGATTATGAGTCTCTGCAGACATCTTGGAGTCTTCTGTGATATCAGAGAAAAATAACCATGACTCAAACCACTCAAAGTGTTTATTTTGTGGAACCATACCCGGTTAATTTGTAGAACAAAGACTAATGAATATGTGTGGGTTTATTAGCAGGGGCTTAATGGAAATCTTATCAGTCATCACTGATTAATGGAGAAAATATAGATGTTTTGCTCTGTTAGTGCAGTGTGATTCATACAGACTGACCCTAAACTGGTTTTGGCCCCTAGTAGTTTTTGGCTAACCCTTGAATATGAACCGTTTCTAGCTTTGTCATTGCATAATCAAACTCCAAAACAGAAACTTCCAACTTTTCTTCTATGTGTGATGTAGCTATGTAATTAAAATAAGCACATATGACTTATTTGATGGCAATTTTTATTGCCATCAAATAAGTCCTCGATGCAGCCGACCCAGGTTCGAATCTGACCTGTGGTCCTTTGCTGCACGTCTTTCCCCATCTCTCATCCCCCCTCTCCTGTCAGTCTACTGCCAGAAAAATTAGCCACTAGTGCTGTTAAAAAGAAAAGGAAAAAAAACAAGAGATGTCATCTTAAAGCACCTGAGAGAAATGTATTGCTAAAACAATTAAATAAAGAATAATATACAGCATTCTGGGGTCATTGAGTGAAGTGTGTTTATGGTTAAACTAAAATTATTAAACATTATTTTTACAGGCAACATATATATATAGATATATATATATATATATATATATATATATATATATATATATATATATATATATATATATATATATATATACACACATTTTAAAAGAATATTTTGATTGGTATAATTGCTTGTTCTTTGGTTATTATGGATAGTTAGAATCTGGTTTGGTTTTTCTTTATCATGGTATTTACTTGTAATACTATGAAATACTCAATATTAGTGTTATAGTATTATCTACAACATATGGAATTTTGTCATTTTTATATTTATTTATTTTTACATCTGGTTAGTTTGTACAGAGTTTCCCTTTTACTATTCTTTTTATTTTTATTATATATATTATTGTTTTTTTCCCCCATTTTTCTGCACCAACTCTGTGTGCCATTCAGAGCTGTTCTGAGCAGTGAATATCTCCATTTTTAGATTTATAAAGTTCATTAGCCCATTCAGCTACAAACAGGGGACACTCAAATAACACACACACATAACACAATTTGCTGGCAACAAAACCACACAAAAATTATCAAAGGAAATCTAATTTATTAACCAATGAAGTCCTTGATTTGGAGTCGCACACAAAATTAAAATGGAAAAACACACTACAGCTGATCCAACTTTTATATAATGTCTTTAAAACTGGTCAAAATGAGGCTCAGTATTGTGTGTGGCCTCCATGTGCCCGTATGACCTCCCTATAATGACTGGTCATGCTCCTGATGAGGTGGCGGATGGTCTCCTGAGGGATCTAATCCCAGACCTGGACTAAAGCATCTGCCTTCTCCTGGACAGCCTGTGGTGCAACGTGACGTTGGTGGATGGATCGAAACACGATGTCCCAAATATGCTCTGAATCCAGAGCTTCAATGCCTTCTTGCAGGAGCTGCTGACTCAGTCCAGCCACATGGGGTCTAGCGTTGTCCTGCATGAGGAGGAACCCTGACAGACCGTTGCTTTCTTATGTGAATATGTGCATATTTGTGCAAAAAAAGGAGGTATATGTGTTTTAAAACCCTGCTTTAGTGGCTTTTAAGTTCATTAAAAGTCCAAGCATCAGCCTAATTCCAGTGTAATTTCAGTGTAACCAGCATTTGTACTGCACTGCACTGGACAGGGACCTAGGGGAGGGAGCCCAGATGTCAGTCAAAGGGCCAATATTGTCAGGGTTTGGTTGAGGTTTTGAGGACCCAAATGCAGAGGCGAGGAGGCAGAGGTGAGCAGTGTTGGGCACGTTACTTTGAAAAAGTAATTAGTTATAGTTACTAGTTACTTCTCCCAAAAAGTAACTGAGTTACTAACTGAGTTACTCCACAATAAAAGTAACTAGTTACTAGTAAAAGTAACTATTGCGTTACTTTTGCGTTTCTCGCCCCCGTAACCCTCACCATCCAGCTCCCACCTTCTCGCCGTGTGTTTCCAAAGCCATCTGAATAGAGCGGATGACAAAGACAAGAACCTGCAGAGAGTTTAGCATTTATTGCAACTCAACGTAAATGACATCAGGGGGGAACGCCATGTGAAGTTTTATAACAGGACATTCAGGTCCGGTGAGTATATGAAATTAATAACTGGGGATGTCTAATTCTGAAATCCTGTGTGTTTGGGTTGTTATAGATACTGCAACATCTATCTATCTATCTATCTAGATCTTTACTCTGTGTGTGACATAAAATATGGATCTCCATCCCTGCCACAAAGGCCATCAAATAATGTTTAAAATAAAAAATACAGTAGGTTGAGAAGGCAGAGTATCCATTCATCCATCCATCCATCCATCCATCCATCCATCCATCCATCCATCCATCCATCCATCCATCCATCCAGATTTCTCCCTTTCTCCATATAGGCTATCATTTCTGGCTGTTGTCAGGTTCATTTGATTGTTCACGCTCTCCATAGTTCTCCTGTGGCGCGAGCACAGGGCGACTGTTGCGCGCCTTTAGCGAGCATGCGCGTTTCCTGTCGCTTGCGCGGTGACTCTTGCCGCCTGCGCTGTGCGGAGATGCAGAGGAAACCGTTATGTGATGGGGAAACGCAGCTCGACGTAACACCGGTATTTCCATGTGGAAAACGTTGTTTTGCTGCTGGAGTCATCCTCACTCTCCATCTCTCTGTGTGTGCTGTACGTTAACACCCGCCAGCAGAAACACCCACCTACCCAACTGACAGACGGAATCTCATCCTCCCCTCTCTCATGACAAGGCGCGCACCTCTGGATGACCTAAAAAAATAATCTTTAATATCTCTTAAACAAAAGTAGAACAAACAATATTTTTTTCTTCACAAATCTGCACTAACGTTGCACTAACCATTCAGTCTATTTGCAGAGTTTTTTGACGTGGGTGGGGTGTCAGCTTCACGCAGCTGCGCACGAGTCCTATCATGAAAAAAGGTTCATTGTGCGACCTGAGTAACGCGCAGTAACGGGGTGTCTGCAATGGTAACTGCGTTATAGTTACAGTCAAAGTAATTAGTTAGATTACTCGTTACTAAAACAAGGTAACGGCGTTAGTTTCAACGCCGTTAGTCCCATCACTGGAGGTGAGTTCTTGTATTTTTAATTGAGTTCTAACAGGTAACAGAGGCAGGAATCCTAAAATCCAACATAAAAAATGCAAAACAAATCAGAACCATGGAGACATCAGAGAAAACAAGCAGGGAAAGACGAGGAACCAGCACTGAGGAACTGCACAGGGAGAGTATATATGAGAGACTGAACAAAGACAGGACTATTGGGCTGAGTGGGAGCAGGTGTGAACAGAGGATTCTAGAAGGAACTAGGGAAAAGGAGACCAACACAGGAGGGAAAGCAAAGGAAAACATAAGAACTCAAATATATCCATAAAACACCAATAAAGCAAGAAAACAAAGACAAACATGGATCAACGTGAAAATGAAAACTCAGAGAAAGCTTAGCAGAACAAAGACCATGACAAATATGCTCATAAAACATGAACAAATGAGCGCAGTGGGCTATTGGGCTCAGCTTTATGGAGGCAAACTTCAGCGCAACTAGAAATTGCTACTAAATCTCTAAAGCACAGGGTGTAAAAATAATAAAATAAAAAAAGCGTAGTTTGGATTGTTATCAGGAGGCTTTTAGCATCTTACAGTCTACTTTCTGAGAGAATCTCACAGAACTGGGAACGTTGACAGTTGTTTGTAAATGTTTATAGTCCTGTTTAAAAATCTTAACAGACTCTCTTCCTGGTGTTTGCTTTCACTTAAACACTCAGAATCACATCAAACTAAATGTCTGACACTCATATAGAGCAAACCTCCTTTAAAATGCATAATAATCATGTTCTAAACATGTGTAATATGTCTATAAGTTGCTTTTATTCATTTAAATTCAGTTATATCAAATTATTTTAAAAACAGTTTTTTAAATATAATATAGGTGCATATTCCACAAGTTTTTCTGAACAAGTTCGGTTTGTCTTTTTATTAGAAGGGAGGTTTATTGCCTATTAATCAGAGCATTGGGCTCAGAAAGCCCAAGCAAACACTGATGCTCTTTTACAGCCCAGAAAATGTCCCAGACATGGGCAGTAAAAAAGATAAATTAACTGCACTGCCACAGGGACTCTCAGGCATGGCTGGAAAGGATTTATTCATACAATGTTCAGAACCTCATTCCAGGCTTCAAAGTGTGACGATGAGTTTGTCACCTCGTTGCTTCTATCTTAAAGGTCTGTTTAAAGAACATCTCCGACGAAGGGTGACATGATTTTTATTTCTCTTTGCTTCCAGAGCACGGCTTTATTAAATTTCTTCTTTTTTATTTGGAACAAAGATATAACTTTCAGCTCCTAGACTCTTAGCTTCATTTCAAAGAGATCAGTCTGTTCATATTTTATATAACTTTTACTGCTCATAGGATTTAACACTTACTTTTTATTATTATTATTATTCTGGCTTGAGCTTATAATTTCAGCCGATATTCCATTACCCAGTAAAATAAGATTGTGTTAAAGGGCTGGTATAAATATATGTTTGAAAAGAAGTATTAATGTGTTCCTTTCAGGGTTTCTTGAAGGATTGCCCCAGCGGAACCTTGAATGTGGAGGAGTTTAAAAAGATCTATGCCAATTTCTTCCCCTACGGAGATGCGTCCAAATTCGCCGAGCACGTCTTCCGGACCTTTGACACCAACGGAGACGGGACGATAGACTTCCGGGAGTTCATCATCGCCTTGAGCGTCACGTCACGAGGGAAGCTGGAGCAGAAGCTGAAATGGGCTTTCAGTATGTATGACCTGGATGGAAACGGATACATCAGCCGTGAGGAGATGCTGGAGATTGTACAGGTGAGCAATCAAAGTTGGAAATGATTGAGTGATATTTTCCACCTGTGGACTCTAATAGTTGGGACATTTAACATTTAACATATATTTGAATAAAACTCCTAGATGTGAAGCCTTTTTTTCCACATTTGGTGCACAGATATATATTTACGTAGCAAAGACATTACCATTAACAACATGTTGATATATAAACGATATATAAATGATTTAACGACCCCCCTTTCAGAGACATAGACAGGTATGGGGCATTGCAGGCTAATAAAAGAAACCAAACGACCCCCATTCCAAAGGGATGGACGCCTTCATCCATTTCTATTTGGATGTTTTCAAAACAAAAACCAGGTTTTGATGGACTACTGTATAAAACCTCGGACTTAACGCCATTCCTAACATTTTGAATTGAAAAAGCTTCCTGGATGGGATGCGAAACGTCTTCAAACTTCAAAGTCCAGTGGATTATTTTTGATTTTCTTTTTTTGGTTGATATGTAAAATATTTACAATTTGCAAACAAATTAATTTCTCAAAAATATAGGTGAAAATGTTAAGAAGTTTTAGGCAGTGCAATTTTAAAAAAGGCCTAAATTGGAAGGCAACCGGACTGCTGATGTATTTAAGCAGCATGGAGGTTCATCCTCCTGAACATATTCCAAGTCAGATGCAAATCAAATAGCCGCCCTTTGTTCTTTTGAATTGTTGGAGCCTTTTGTTGTGGATGGGCTACATGATTGGTCTTTTGGCTCATGATGGAAGTGCTTATGTAACCTCTTGAGATTTATTTCTATGACTGAATCTGAAACCGCAATCCTACCCCTCTATTCATTAGGGGTGAGTATTGGCATAGGTGTTGCGATATGATACCTGTCTCCATACTTTGATCTCGATACATTATTATTACAGTATTGCTATATAACTATATATTAAGATATTTTTCCCAGCTATCAAAATTTTATTTATAGATAAAAATGCTTCCATGACCCGACCCCAGATAAGTGAAGACGATGGATGGATGGATGGATGGATGGATGGATGGATGGATGGATGGATGGATGGATGGATGGATGGATGGATGGATGGATGGATGGATGGATGGATGGATGGATGGATGAGATAAAAAAAATCAAGCGCTGTGTGTGGTTATCAGAAGAAATTTATCTTTTAGTCATTTTTTATCCATGTTTTTGGGGGATGGAGTCGGTTCATGTCTTCCACTGTTATTTCCTATTGTTATGGCCCATGTTTCTCTTTTTCTCTTATTTTAGGTTAAAAAAAATTTTTTTGTTTTTTTAATTGTACTAGGAACTGTAACATTGATATTATATCAGGCAGCTGAAAATCACGATATATATCGGCTAAATGATTTTTCCCACAACCCTACTCTTCAGGGATAGGTTTTCTTTTTTTCACTAAGCTAGCTTCATTGACCCCTCTTTCAAACCATCTGTCCTCTCTGTCCAAAATCTGAACACTTTGGTCTTCAAAGCTGTGTCCTTGGTTTTTGAGGTTCAAGTGTATAGCTGTATCTTGCCCAGAGCAGCTGGCTCTCCTGTGCTGTCCCAGGCTTTTGTGTAGTTGCTGTTAGGTTCCACCAGTATAGGTCTGTCTGAGCTCTTCCAGTCTGAGCTCTTCTTGCTGATTGGCTTGTGTTTTACTGATTAGAAAACTGCTGTATACATGGAAGTTAGGAACGCGGTACTGAAAGGTGCAAAATTAGCCCATACGTTTGTACGATAAAGCCCTCCAGAGCGTCCGGCACCAGATTGCACGTGATACAAATAAACCAATGAGTTGCTGTCAGTCTGGGTTGCTGCTGCTGCTACTTTTAAACACTGCAGGCAAACCTTTGGCAAGCCGGGCAATGATCCAGGCTCACGAATGAGCACCTTGATATGTGCTTTAGAATGTCTTTGTCTCCATTCAAACCCAGGTTTAAAGACTTGCAGGGCAGCATAAAGCCCACTGCTCACATTAAGCCATACAAAAGAAAGGAAAAAACAAAAGACAGTTCAGGTGTTTAAGAAAAAAAGTGCGTCAGGAAATTGTCTACATACAAAACTGAAAGATTGTTGTTCTCTACTTGGAAAACAATTTAGATTTTGAAATGGAAAAATTTTCTATTTTTATATTTAAAAATTCTATGTATAACACGGATGCATAAACACCTGCATTTTTTATTTCAGTGTTAAATGCTGTTTCAAGTAACGGATTATAATTAAAAAATGTCTCCCGACCTTCGCTGGTAGTTGATTTTCTTTATTCAGACCCCGCTGATTTTTAATTGGTTACCACTCTTATTGACCTTTTTAACTCTGCTATTGATCAGCATGCAAAATCTGAGCAGTTATTACATGAGGATTTTGCATCAACCTTCTGAAACTTCACAAAAATAAATAAAGTTTTCTTAAATTAAAACCGGAGTTTGAAGGCTATATAAAGCTTATAAAAGTACATCTAAGAACAGTTTCTATGTATTTTATAAAGTTTGCAGTTTAAAGAAAGCTTTTCCAACCCAATTTCTTCTCAGCAGTAGATAAAATGCCCAATTTATTATTAGTAACTGTAGTTTAAAGCTATGTAAATCCAAATATTAACACCGATGGGGCTCATATAAGGAGGGAAGAAACTGACAGGCATCAAACTAACTCAGCAATATGCATTAAAACAATGGCTGAGCATCACTGCTTGGCTGTGTGTGAGTCTGTGTGGCTGTTTTATGGTTCTTATGGATTAGCAAGTTAAATTTAACCAGTGTTTATCCCTGAGTGTGCAGAATACTGGGATTAACCCTGAGCTTGTACAGGTTATGTTATAGAGAGAGGAGGGAGGAGGCAGGCCATTGTGTAATTATTCAACTGACAAGAAAGAAGATGCTCCCTAAAACTATTTGGATGCTTATAAGTGGGCTAAATTCACATTTGTATATAAAATGAACCAAAAATGGTGAAAGGAACTAAATATAGTTTCATTTGCTCTTCATTAATTTTCTTTCAAGATTATTTCCTATCCAAGGGAAGGCAGGAACTTTATAACCATGATGCTTATCATGATTCTGATTTACTTTTTATTACTTGAGTGATCAAGGGATGTCTGACTAATCTGTTGTGGCAAAATTAGCTGTGTTTCTATCCTGTGATGCAAATTTTGAGTGAATTTTTAAAAAGTTGCAAAAGAAAAAAGAAAATGAAAATTAGACAGGTTTCTGTCCTTTGGAATGAATTATGAAGCCATGGAAAGCGGATACGTTGCCTACGTTTATGTTAGGGATGCACCAAAATGAAAATTCTTGGCCAAAAACAGAAAAAAAGAAAGAAAGAAAGAAAACAAGGTCATACAATGAAACAGCAAAACAATGTATTATGTCAAATATTTGAACAATAGTATTTGGGCTAAGATGTGTACTAACCCTATTAAAAAAACTCTTTTTTTTTTTTTATCTCAATTAATTAGTTACAAAAGCATCAAAATATTTATTCACTACAGACATTTTTTTGTTATGCTTTAGCCTTAGGGTAGTCACAAGGAAAAGTTTCTTGTAACATCTGTTGTTGCGTTATCAACAGTCGTGGCCGTGCTGTTTTGGTGTTGAACGTCTATCTGATAAAAGAAACTAAAATACACTTTTCGGTGGCGGAATTTTCTAGTTTAGGATACGATTGGCTGTTGTAAACAGGAAAGTAGAGATAGCAAGGCTAATTGCAACACTAATCTGCTCAAAACAAGGAAAAATACATTTATGTTAAAAAATTAATTTTACTTATTCATACTTACAGTTTTGCAGACATTCCTACGTTGCAATAATTGTCAATCTAAGTCTTGCAATCTAAAATCGCATATATCGCCTAAAAGTATTTTTGATCTTGTTTTGATATTTTATTTTATTGATATCCTAATCAAGATCAGATTCTGTTTCGGATGATCAATCTTCGTTTGAGAAGATTCTATTCAAGAATAGTTCAATAATCTGCCACTACAGTGAGACCATGGCACTTGGTAAGACGCCTTAGATCTGTCATGATGTTACAAAGTTCAGACCCAAATGCAGAAAACCAAACAGAGAGACCAGGGAAAAGGTTTAACAGGTTTTATTGAAGAAGTTAAACAGAGGGAGAAGTGTTGCTCTGAACACTGCTCAACCGGAACTGTAAAGTGAGGGAAAGACACAACGGTTAGTTCAGGCTCAGTAGGGAATTTGACTTGTGAACATGGGGAAGAGGTATTGGTATTGAATCCTTGACTTCTGTCTATGTGTTGTGGTTCCAGTGTTTTTCTGATTCGGTGGTGGGCGGAACAGGGTTTACCCAGAATGCGGTTGTTAGTTGGTGAACGGAGATACTGACTGCCACTCAGATTTCCTGCGGTACTTAAACGGGTCGTAGTGGAGAATTATGCCATTCTCATTGAGAAGCTCAAACGATCTCTTGGGGAAAGTGGATCCAAACCTCCTGTTTGAACCCCGGCTCAGTTTGAAGCTCAGTTGATCCTTCCAGGGAGTGAAGGTCCGAGAAATCCAGTTTGCAGGATGACTTCCTGCTGAGAGGCAAAGACAAAAACAAAGTTAAACTCAGGTTGACAAAAAGCTCAGCTTGACTCAGCAAAAACTCAGCTTGGCTAGAGTACCCTAAACTGGCAAAAACTGGCAGTCAGCAGCTTAAGAACACTCCGTTTAACGAGGAAACCATCCGCAGGTGTGTGAGGAGGCGGACCAGAACCAGGCGCTTCTTGGTGGATGAAGGAAACACACAGAAACACAAACACAAAAACAGGAGTCCTGACAAGATCCTTATACATATATTGTTTTTGTTAACAAAATTCCACCTTTCAAAAGGTGTTTAGGGCATTACGCTTGGAATCTAGAAGTTATGAGTTAAAGCCCAACTCAACATACTGACACTCTGGGTCCCTGAGCAAGACCCTTAACCCCTCATTGCTCCCCGGGCGCCCCACAATGGCAGCCAAAGGGGTTTGGTTAAATGCAGAGAGTTCATGTCATTGCTCTGTACTTGTGACAGTGTAGTGACAATACAAAAGCTGAAAAAACCTAAAAGAAAAAAAAAGAGTGCATTTGCCTCCTATTTGAACTGGTAAGTAAGATGATCAGCCAATTGAATGAGTATATTTGAATAATGGGGGAAAAAAATAGAAACTTGCAAAGACAACGGTTTATCTATCGCCAGAAACGAGGGGACAGTGTTACAAACACTGTGCAGCCTCTTTGGAAATCTACCTTTTCTTCCTAGCTTTCCTATTTTTGTCCAAGGAAGCTGCAACACTGATCTACAGTCAGTTTTACACCCAAACCTCCCAGAGGTGGAGAATTAATGGGCATGTAAACTGATACTCGGGGCTTTTTAATGCGTCCAGGCAGAGGTTAATTTAATGCCAGCAGGGGAAGGGAGGCGCTCATATTGGCCATCAGACAAAGATATATCAGTTCAATACCATTAGCATGGCTGGTAAGCCCCCTGCTTCTCGTGGACGCAGACATACGCTCTATGCTTGCACATGTAATTCATGTATCCCCCCTGGCAAGGATGGTGCAAATATTCTCAATTTTCAGAGGCTCCAGGAGCTACATTTGCTTTGGAGGTGGCTCTGGAGGTTCGTTAGCACACAGAGATCTATGGTGATCCGATGTGTTTCTGCTGAGGCTCTGTAATGGCTCCCTGCTGGCTCAAATTCATTGTTTTCTCCTCTCCACCTCCTGCCCTCCCTCTGTTTTCTCCTCCTCCACTTTCAGGCCATCTACAAGATGGTGTCATCTGTGATGAAGATGCCAGAAGATGAATCTACGCCAGAGAAGAGGACGGATAAGATCTTCAGACAAATGGACCTCAATAATGATGGTGAGACGGGAAAACAGCACAGATGTTTGGGAGAGGAGGGCAGGATGGAGAAAGAGAGGTTTTTACATTTGGTTTGTGAAACTAGCTCATTTTATCTCAACAAAAAGTGACAAAAAAGTCATTTTTTGTTTGATTTTATAAGAAACAAAAACATACTTTAATCGAAGGTGGTTCATTACAAACAGTCAAGGAAATGGTGATCAAACAGTTCTTTGCTCTCCTCCACAAAACAAATAGAGCTGCGTTCAGAACCATCGTTTTATAATTTATAGGGAATAAAAAATTAAGGGTGCAGCTGAAATAATGAAATAATCAAGAACATGTGGGGCATTTCTTTGTTTTGAAATCATTAAGCCTTTAATCTGAGAACGGAGGCCTCAGTTTTTAATCTCATTACACGGAGCGAGAGAGACTCCATATTTGACTTATTAACTTAAGTAAAATATTTGTGAAATCTAATATAAATACATTCAAATGGCTGTAAAATTTAGTTGCTCTCATATTTATGCAAACATAGAAACTAAGTAGGTTGTTCTGTTGTAAAGGGCTGCTGAAAAATTAGAGCCTTTTGCAGACGTTTGCTGTTTTTTTCATAGAAAGTTTGATTTCTTACAGGCATAAAACAAAACTACATTTCAATTCGATTCTCAATCACTGTTAATATAAGTATTATTAGGCAAATAATCAGATAGGAAGATCAAAATAATCTTATAATGTAATCAATAATAATAATAAACAATATAATATATATACAACCACCGGCCACTTTATTAGGTACACCTGTCCAACTGCTCGTTAACACCTAATTTCTAAGCAGCCAATCACATGGCGGCAACTCAGTGCATTTAGGCATGTAGACATGGTCAAGACAATCTCCTGCAGTTCAAACCGAGCATCAGTATGGGGAAGAAAGGTGATTTGAGTGACTTTGAACGTGGCATGATTGTTGGTGCCAGAAGGGCTGGTCTGAGTATTTCAGAAACTGGTGATCTACTGGGATTTTCATGCACAACCATCTCTAGGGTTTACAGAGAATGGTCCGAAAAAGAAAAAACATCCAGTGAGCGGCAGTTCTGTGGGCGGAAATGCCTTGTTGATGCCAGAGGTCAGAGGAGAATGGCCAGACAGACTTCGAGCTGATAGAAGGGCAACAGTGACTCAAATAACCACCCGTTACAACCAAGGTGGGCAGAAGAGCATCTCTGAACGCACAGTACGTCGACCTTTGAGGCAGATGGGCTACAGCAGCAGAAGACCACACCGGGTGCCACTCCTTTCAGCTAAGAACAGGAAACTGAGGCTACAATTTGCACAAGCTCATCGAAATTGGACAATAGAAGATTGGAAAAACGTTGCCTGGTCTCATGAGTCTCGATTTCTGCTGCGACATTCGGATGGTAGGGTCAGAATTTGGCGTCTACAACATGAAAGCATGGATCCATCCTGCCTTGTATCAACGGTTCAGGCTGGTGGTGGTGGTGGTGTCATGGTGTGGGGAATATTTTCTTGGCACTCTTTGGGCCCCTTGGTACCAAATGAGCATCGTTGCAACGCCACAGCCTACCTGAGTATTGTTGCTGACCATGTCCATCCCTTTATGACCACAATGTACCCAACTTCTGATGGCTACTTTCAGCAGGATAATGCGCCATGTCATAAAGCTGGAATCATCTCAGACTGGTTTCTTGAACATGACAATGAGTTCACTGTACTCAAATGGCCTCCACAGTCACCAGATCTCAATCCAATAGAGCATCTTTGGGATGTGGTGGAACGGGAGATTCGCATCATGGATGTGCAGCCGACAAATCTGCGGCAACTGTGTGATGCCATCATGTCAATATGGACCAAACTCCCTGAGGAATGCTTCCAGCACCTTGTTGAATCTATGCCACAAAGAATTGAGGCAGTTCTGAAGGCAAAAGGGGGTCCAACCCGTTACTAGCATGGGGTACCTAATAAAGTGGCCGGTGAGTGTATATATATTATAATCTTATCCAAATAATCAAACAATAATTATATAATCAGCCAAAAAAAAAAAATGAATGTTGGAACTGTACCTAATATACAATCATATGTTTACATTATCACTGCTGCACTTTAAAAAATGAAAATGTCTTGAGAGCTGTACTGAATGAAATTTCCTTCTGCATACACTCTATGTGTAAAAAATGATAATAAAGTCTGTCTTAAGTCTAAAAAGAAAGCAGGGAAGACCACACATTAAAGAACATCAGACGGAATATTTCTGAATATTTTATAACGCAACAATTAATATGCAATTGAAACAATATATATGTATAAATTGGTATAAGATATTATGATCACAATTATGACCTGCTTAAAAGGATAATTTATTTTCCTGTGATTCTCCTGCTGTTCATTCTCATGTGGAGCCTCATCGATATTTGCAAGTTATTCTAGTAATCTACTAGTTATCCATCTCCTAAAATAGCTCCAGTAATGTAAAATAATCTCGTTTGGAAGCTTAGCTTTAATTTTAAGGCAGGATTTACTAAGAAATAAACATCCTAAATAGATCAGGGATGAACATTTTATTTTTTGAATAAATGATGTGTTCATAAATCATTTAAACTAGTGAACTAGTGGTAAGTTCAAAGTGGTGCATACCCGGAAAGATGCACATGTGCACAAGAAGAACATGCAAAACACATATCCAAACCTGGACCTTCTTGTTGCATGGCAACAGTGCTACATGCTGCTGCACCATGCAGCAAAAACATTTTAATGAAATAAAGGTTTTTTATAAAAATTTATAAAAAGAAATTTTGCACAGATTTTAGATTTTTAAATGTTTCTTTTTCAGATACTTTTTTAGAAATTGCAGAATTAATATTCGAAGAATAAAGTCGTAACGTTATGAGAAAAAAATAATAAAATTACAAGAATAAAGTCGTAAAATTACAATAAAGTCATAATATTATGAAAAAAAGTCACAACGACAATAGTCATAAAATCACAAGAATAAAGTCGTAATATTACGAGAATAGAGTCTTAAAATTATGGGACTAAAGTCGTAAAGTTACAGGAATAAAGTCGTAAAATTACAATAAAGTTGTAATATTACGAGAAAAAAAGTCACGACAATAGTCACAAAATTACGAGAATAAAGTCGTAATATTAAGAGAATAAAGTCGTAAAATTACGAGAAACAAGTTGTATTTCATGACAACTCTTACAAGAAGCAGTGTCTTCCCTAAAATAAGGAATGTGGAGCATTATGTTAAGTTATACTTTGTCTCTGGTTTGACAAATAAGGAAATCTTTTAGCAGCAGCATCAAATTCGGCAGCAGGTCAAAGTGGACCCAGGTTGCTGATTCACTTGCTGAATTGAAACAATAAAGGAACAAAATTCGCTTCATAATTCGTAGGCACAGACAGCCTGTTTCTGACAGTGTCTTATTTCCTACTCTGGTAGGAAATAAGACACTGTAGATAAACAGAAAGCCGATCGTACTTAGCTCAGGATCTTCCTAATCTGGGCCAAAAATATTAAGAAAAATACGAAATTATTCCACTGTAAGTAAAATAAAAAAATAAAAAATAAGCAAAAATTCAATGTGGAAGACTCTTATCAGCCTCACCTATAGTCCCTGCTGATGTCCCACGTCCCCCTGCACCACCCGTGTCCAGGCCCCAGCATCAAAGTATGGCCCGTTGACCAAATATCTTATTTCATTCATGTCAAATCTTTCTATTTGCAGCTTTTCTCTGTGTCAGTCACTCCAGGGTTGAAATGAGCTGAGGATCTTTCTGTGTATTTTAATATCTGAAATAAAAAAAACTAGTAAAATAGAGGGTCCAGTTTCGCTACATAGACAGTAGTTTACATTTTCTAGTCATAATCTCAGATGTAAAATCAGCACAAACAAGGAACCAAGGTCAACACCACAGTGACTCTGACTTTAAATTATATTATTATGAATGATACTTAAAAGCAGCATTAGAGTCTTGAAAATAATGTCTGTTTTGTCTCTTCCTTTCTATCCATATCTATTTGCAGGTAAATTGTCCCTGGAGGAGTTTATCAAAGGTGCCAAAAGCGACCCGTCCATCGTCCGGCTACTCCAGTGCGACCCCAGCTCCGCTTCGCAGTTCTAAACCCCCCCCTGCCTGTTTTTATTTGCCTCCGTCGCTATTCAGAACGTCCCTGAAATCAATGCATGATGGCTCACATCTCTCATCTGTTTAGTTCCTGTTTAGCGGAGAGGTTGAGGAGAGTAGGAATTTCATTTTACTTCTGTATTTTTGGAAGAATAAAGGGACGTGTTTTGGGTAGGTTTTAACGCTGGATCCAGGAGGCGCCTGCCGCTGTTCTCCACCGAACATGACCCTGTTTCACGGCGCGGATGCTTTCTGCTGCATGCAGAGGCCCTCGGTTTCACCTCGGAAAGCACGTGTATATCATGTAGATACTGTATGTCTGTATATCATGAGATCCGGTCAGTTTATTTTCAGGCACCGTGTGGGAAACACTCTGAAAGGCAGTATTATGTAGCGTTTGCTTCCTGTTCTGATCTCAGTGGGAGTTTTAGGGTTGGTGGGATTTTATTGCTGTATGATCTTTCGCTGTGAAAAAGAAGGCCTAAGATCCCTTTTGATTTATTTTTGTTAATATCTACTGATGTTTTTTCCTTTTTTTTTATTTTTTTTCCCCCTCATTTGTACATACATTTTTCACGTGATTTTATTTATTCATTTTTACTCTCAATGTGCTTTTACTTTGATAAGTTGACTGTATTCCAGTTTACAGTAGCTGTGAGAGTGACCGGTGTGATTTTAACGAATTTGCTCAAAGTGAAGGATAAGAAGGTCTCGTGATGCATTTCGATCAACAGCACCGGTAGCACATATCGTTTTATCGCCGCCATGTTTTCACAGGGTGCGAGTTCCAGCCGTATGCTTGGGGCTAACTTTTACAGTATTAACATGTTGTGTGGTTTCTTATATGTACAGTACCTCGCAAAAGAAAGAAAAAAAAATTCACACCCTTGAACCTTTTTTTGCATTTTTTCATGTTACAACCAAAACACAGTTCATGCATTTTGTTGGTGTTTTTTTATGTGGCAAACGTAGACGTGCAAAATATATGGAGATTTCTCTTTAAGAATGGATACGTGGTTAATACTGTTCAAATGGAAGGAGGCCTCCCCTCCTACCAAATTTTATTCAACTTGGGAACCATTTCTTTTTGGAGAAATTAGATGCTCAGTTAATTAGTTAATTAGCTAAATTTTTTAGCTCAATAAACTTTAATCTTAACCGCCCCCCCCCCCTTTTTTTTTGTTTATTTATATATTTTTTATTTATCTATGTTCATTTATTTATTTATTTATTATTATTGTATTATTACTTTTTATTTTACTCTATTTTTACGCCGGGCATGGCTGGACTACAAGGGGTGAGCAATGATAATTACTATCAGGGCCAGGCTAGAGATTGTTTTTCTTCTGTTTCGAGAATAAAGTTGTAATATTAAGAGAATAAAGTCCAAAAATTCAAGAATAAAGTCCTAAAGTTCCGAGATTTTATTTTATGGCAACTCCTACAACAAGCACTTTCTTCCCTAAAATGAGGAATGTGGAGCATCATGTGAAGTTATACTTTGGCTCTGGTTTGACAAATAAGAAAATCTTTTAGCAGCAGCATCAAATTGGGCAGAATGTGAAAGTTAACTCTGGTTGCTGATTGGTGGAGCTGGTCGGCCGTCATCTGCTCGTTGCAGCCTGAAGTTTTCTTTCTGAAACAGGTTGTTGAATGATGACTTTATTTTCGTAATATTACGACTTTATTCGTATAATGTTACGACTTTATTCACGTAATATTACAACTATTCTCATAATGTTACAACTTTATTCTAGTAATATTAAAACTTTATTCTCGTAATATTACAACTTTATTGTTATAATGTTACGACTTTATTCTCATGTTATGACTTTATTCTTGTAATATTACGACTTTATTCTCGTAATGTTACGACTTTATTCTCTTAATATTACGATTTTATTCTTATCTTATGACATTATTCTCATAATATCACAACTTAATTCTCTTAATATTATGACTTTATTCTCATAATATTACAACTTTATTCTTGTAATATTACGACTTTATTCTCATGTTATGACTTTATTCTTGTAATATTATGACTTTATTCTCGTAATGTTACGACTTTATTCTCTTAATATTACGATTTTATTCTTATCTTATGACATTATTCTCATAATATCACAACTTAATTCTCTTAATATTATGACTTTATTCTCATAATATTACAACTTTATTCTCATAATATTACGACTTTATTCTCGTAATGTTACGACTTTATTCTCGTAATATTACAACTTTGTTCTCATGTTACAACTTTATTCTCAAAATAAAAAAAAATCTCTAGCCTAGTAGTATTGTACATTTGTATGCTCAAAATAAATTAAACCTTGCTTGAAAAAAAAAATGGTATACATTTGCAAGACGTGCGTCAAGCCCCCCTATGTGGATACCTTTTAGAACTCCGTTAGAACAGCAAGACTTATAAAAATCTGCACATTATTGTTGCAGGCACATTATTGTCGCAAGCTAAGAACACATTTTCTAAAAAAAAAAAAAAAATTTTAACATACTATCTACACTTCAAGCTAAATACAAATCCTAGCTCCTGATGCCCATCTACCAATAAAATGCTGTTGATAACATCCCTGCAGACCAAGAGAAATGCATCTTTGTGCCTTTTTCCACGGGAAATTCCACCCCCAGAAGGAAGAGCATTTAATCTGTAAAACACAATTTAAAAATAAATGCAATTCGTAAAACATATTCTTAGAAGACATTTTTTAAAAATACTTTTTTTAAATAGTATAATTTTCAGATATAAAATAAATGGAAAAAGTAGAGTCTGAAGAATAATAAAAAAAAAGTATAAACCAACTTTTAAGTTGTTATGCTGTTTAAAGCTGTTTTTCTGGATTACACTTTTTTTCAAATTTTAATTTACAAAATGTGTTCTTTCTTTGCAACATTAATTGAATTAAATTCACTCCATACTACCAGGGAAAGTTACTGCGAAACATTATAGAAAGTTCCCAAATGTAATACTTTATATGCTAAATTTTGCGGGCAGCGTCACATTAAAAATGCAGATCTCTATATGTTCATCTTCTGTCACCAATGATTGTTGAAAAATAGAGACTGCAGTTAGTGCATTTGCACAAGGACATTTGGCACAATTTCTCCTGACACGTCTGGAGCATGAAGGTCTAACCTACACTTTAGTTTCCTGTTTCTCCCACCTGAATTTCTGCAGCTGCTGTAGAGTTAGCACTGAGCTCACAGCTACTTCTGATTCATGTCCTTTTGAAGGATTCCATACATTTTCCATCAAAGTGAAATCTCCCACAGCATGACGCTTCCACCACTGTATCCAGCATGGAGGTGTTTTTGTTCAGAGTGGGGAGCAGTGTAACTGTTTTGCATGAAATCCAAAGAGGAAAAAACTATTTTTGTTTTCTTCCTACATTTTTTTCTTATACTCTGTAATTGTGCACAACTTTTTCTTGATCCAGTCACATAAAATCCCAATGAAGTGCATCGTAGTTTGGTGGTTGTAATGTGACAAAATGTTAAATCGTTCATAAGGTACAAACAACTTTGCTAGTTATCGTTAGTATCTTAGAGTCCTTTAATATCGAGCTGTAAACTTTAAGGTAGTTGTAACCTGTCACTATAATGCATGGTCCTATGAGCAAGACACAGGCAACAACAACATCAGTTTACACACAGTGATGTGGAGCTCGCCAGCCCTCTCAGAAATGAGTACTTCTCCATCTTTGGAGCAGCCCTACTATTCCTCCTTCCTTTTTTCTCCTCTGACAGACAGAGAACTCACTAAGGGCTTGTTTCATCACTTTTATGCTAAACGATTTTCAAAATTTTAATTGAGCAGCAGTAACTTGTAGAGGCGCGTTTCAGTAGAGGGCAGCAGGGTAACATTCTGGTCCTGGTTTGCTTGATTCTGTTTCTTATGGAAGCCCATTTCTGCCACTTCATAAAAAATAAAAGATATATGGGATTTTATATTTATGAGATTTAAAGTCAGGATTAGGCAAGATATTTCATAGTATATTTCAGTGGCAAGGCAATTCAAAATGCTGTACATGCGGAAAAAAGAGTGCATTTCAGTGGCAAATAGCCAAAAAAAGGTAAAAAAAAAAAAATTGAAAGGGACACAGCAGAATAAGTGGCATTTGCATATATATATATATATATATATATATATATACATACTGTGTATATATATACATATATATATGTATATATATATATATATATATATATAGAAAGCGATAAAATGAGAAATAATATAATAATAAGAAGAAAATTGACTAAAAACACTTTAAACATAATGCTTACATATCTCAGACAAAGGCCACTCTAAACATGCTTTAGTCTTAATTTAAAGCACCTGAGAATTTCACTGCTTTTACTGTTTTATGGGAGTTTATTCCAGATTTATGGAGCAAATTTAAAGTCATATTTTTGACTCTCAATGTCATGATTAAGAGATACAAAGTTATGGCAATATATCTGATTGGTTATCTAATAATTATGAATTTAACAGTCATAATAATGACTTTGAAAGTTAAAATGACTTTTTAGCTCCAAGTTAAGACTATTTCATAATTATGACTTAAATCTCATAGTTTATATCCCACAATTATGACTATATTTCATAATCAAGACTTTGAAAATCATACTTATGACTTAGTATGTCAAAATGATGAAAAACCATGTGATGATTACTTTCAAGTTCAAATAGAAACAACTAAAATCGCCTCAAAAATGATTATTTAAGTTTTATTGAGACATCGATGCTTGCACTGCTCTAAGATGAAATCTGGATCTCTTATTAGCCTCTCGGTTTTTACAAATTTTTAGTAAATATAAATTTGTCAGAGACTTCAAAAGCTAGATGCAACAAAATGACCCCTGTGAGCCTAAAATCTGTCCCAGTGCCACTTTTTCCAACTGATTTGGCTCTAAATCAGCTTGTACCAAATGTTATGACCAGAAGCTACCTATCCAGCAGCACCTCTGCTTTTGGGATCCTTAAGTATCACTGCCTTCTGCTGGTAGGATAAGGAACAACAGTCAGAATCTCTTCATTTTCTTCAGTTTGTTTTTCTATTATCACTGCCTCTTATGATAAACCGGTATCTTGTCTTGAAGAAAATAAGCTACTCCTTTATTTCTCCCTTCCTATTCCTGCACTATTTTTCTGTTGCATGAAAACCTCATGTGAGGATGCACTGTTTGTTCTGTTGAACTTGACAATAGAGATATAAAAATATACCCTCTGTGTTTCAAAGCAGCGTGTGTCGACCGCGTCCTTATTTCTATTTGCATACAAAAGCAGTGTTACCTTTCTACATAGAAAGGAATAAAGGGCCTTAATGACACTCACCAGGGAGGATTAAATGCAAAAACATGACATTGTTTTCCATAGGTTTGCCAGAGATAGACCAGTCCTACCTGTCAGGCCACTGGCTGCTGCGCAATAATAACAAACACAGTTCAGAGACACAAAAAAAACATGAAGGTTGAATCTCAATATAAAAAACTTTATTCGCTTAAAAAATAAATACCACTGGCAGTGACGTTTAGGCACAAAAAGATACAATCATTAAAATCTCACACAGGCAAAGGAAACCATAAAAGGCAGGTATCCAGACAAGTAACATTTCAGTATTTGTTTTTCAACTCAAATGTTTGGGGAAAATAATTCACCGTTTTGGGACTGAGGCATTTGAAAAAAATGTGAAATAAACAGACAATGATCTAGTTTAAGCAGGTTTGTGTCGCCCGACTCCGACATAAAGAAAGCACAGATTTGTCCATAAGTTGCTTCAATACTTTGGTGCTATGTTGCAGATTTGTTCTCTTTCAACAGAGTCAGACTAACTCTTGTGTATCCAGTCGAGCTAAACTAAGTTGAGTCCAGCTCAGCTATCATATTTCAAGTATAAACAAAGAGAAAAACATAATATAAAACTAAATTAGGCTTCTGTTATGAAAAAAATAATTTTGCTCACTGTAACGCCTGTTTAGGGTCTGACTATAGAAATAATTTCCTTTACTCAGAGTGGCAAGAACAAAGTACTGAGTTAATTGCTTTAAATGTAATTCCTCATATGTAGCTCCCACCATCGGCCTGGTGTCCACTTCGCCTTAGCTGACTAATCACAGTTGTTTGACACCAAAAGAAAAAAGGTTCAGCCCAGAAACTGTTCCAACAACAAGAATGATACCGTTTTGTTCTTAAAGTTCTGAGGGATTGAACAAATTTTTCTGCTTTTGTAAAAAAATCTAACAATGAGCTAGCATGCATGATTAAAGCCTCTTTTTTCCTCACAAACTTGCTTGAGTCCAACATTTAGCATTTTAAAGAATGTTCAGAAACTTAAAACTATTTGTCATAATACGTTTTGAGCCCATTTTTATGAGGATGCTAATCTGTGAACTCTGACCTTTAGCAGTTAGCAAAGCATTGTCCATATATGCTTTAGCCAAACTTTTGTAAAACTATTAATAGGCTTCAGATTAGTTTTGGTGGATATTTTGGCCTTTATATAATCGGTGAAAACAAACGGTTTTGTTTCCTCAAACTTTGGTACCAAAAGTTTTAGAAAAGGAGCTCTCACATCTCATCATTAACACCCATTCTGTTGTTTCTGCTAACATGGAGCTAGCATGCTCTTTAGCATCCATTAAAGTCCCTTTTTTCTTCACCAACTTGCTTATGTTTGTAAATGAGAACAGAGTCCCACATTTAGCCTTTTAATTAATGTTGAGAGACTTCAAACTATTTGTAACAATAAATTTTAAGCCCCTTTTTATGAGGAAGCTAATCTGTGAACTATGATTTAGCAGTTAGCGAAGCGTTGTCCATATATGCTTTAGTCAAACATTTGTAACATTATTAATAGCTTCAGATTAGTTTTGGTGGATTTTTTATTTTGGCCTTTATATAATCGGTTAAAACAAAAGGATTTGTTTCCTTAAACTTTGGTACCAGAACTTTAAGAACAGGATCTCTTACAGCTCTGCATCCATTCTGTTGTTTTTTGCTAACATGAAGCTAGCATGCTCTTTAGCATCCATTAAAGTCTCCTTTTCCCTCACCAACTTTGTTTATGTTTTTAAAATAAGGACAGTCACACATTTAGCCTTTTAATGAATGTTCAGAAACTTTAAACTATTTGTCATAATAAATATCGAGCCCATTTTATGAGGAGGCTAATCTGTGAACTTTGACCTTTAGTAGTTAGCCTAGCGTTGTCCATATACGCTTTAGTCAAACTTTTGTAACACTATTTATAGGCTTCAGATTAGTTTGGGGGGATATTTTTCTTTTTATTTTGGCCTTTATATAATCGGTTAAAACAAAAGGATTTCCTCAAACTTTAGTACCAGAACTTTAAGAACAGGAGCTGTGACAGCTCATCATTAACACCCATTCTGTTTTTTCCATCTCCGTTTCCATTTGAGTCCTTGAGCCCTATGAAATGTCCTCCCCGGACAGAACTTCAGTCTGATTCTTCCCACCTTAAGGAAAATAAATAAATTATTGATTGTGCAGAGTACATATATAACCTTTACCTAACTAGCTTTATGTTTATCTAGTCAAGCTAAGCTTTGTCGAGTCCAGCTCAGCCATCATTTTCAAATGGTATTGGTATGGTATGGCAGTACAGTTTGAATAAACATTTGTGCACGCTCATGCAGTTGGAGAAAAATCAAAAAAAGGTTTCCATAATGAAAAGAAAAACATTGCTGGTCTGTTCCTCCATTGATAGAGAAATGGGTGGTTGAACCACTTAATTTTGCTTCCAGGCCTTTTCTCAGAGCCTGTGATACATAGAAAGGTATTATACCTTCCATTTCATGGCTGAACCTCCCCAAAAATCAAACAGGTTCTCCTTTTTATTGTAGGATGGCACCATGCTTTAAGATTTAAAGGTAAAGCATTCATTTCTATTGCTCTCTGTCTAATATAACCAGGAAGATCAACACCAACATTCACAAGCACACAATATCCTGAATTTCAGAAAAAAATCCTTGACTTGTAGAATAGAAACATAATGCCTACAGTCCCTGACACTAGGGCTGGTAAAAGCTGTAGTCTATCTCTGCATCATCCTGGACTCCTTGGAGGCTTCGGCAGCAACAAATGACAATGCGCAATTTATAAAGAACTATATCCAAAAGCTGGACCTGTCGGATGTGCCCCTCCTCAGGTCATGGCGCGGTTCCCGTCCCCTTTGTTGACTGCTTCTCCTTGTTTCTTGACGTTCTATGTCCGACCATTCTCTGTGAGATTGCCGAAGAGGCTCCCTTTCTGAGTGGGGAGTACTCCGACCGTGGTAAGGGAGATGTCCTGAAGGAGCTTGGTGCTCCGGTCGTGGAGGCGTGGTAGTGCGCCTTGATGGTTTCTTGTTGGTTCTTGGAGGCTCGGTATAATGTTTGGTTGGTTTATTGTGGTTTACAGGAGGGTTGATGTGAAGTTGAGAACGTTCATCATGGCGTCTGGTATGCTCGGTATGATGTCGAGGCTGCATATTATGGATTCTTGGAGGTTCAGAATACACCCGTGAAGTGTCATGGTGCCGTCTTGGGGGTTCACTATAGCGCGGCCGGGAGGCATCTTTTGCTGGTTTTACCTCGATCTAAACAAGCAAAATTTTGGAAAGTGATTTTCAAAACAGTCCAAATAGATCCCTAACGAATGACATTTTAAAAGCACAATGAACGGTTGAAGACTTACCGGTCTAGTGATGTTTTTACGCCTCATTCTTTTGGGGCAACCGGGAAGTCCTAAGAAGGATGCACAGGCGGCGAGGCAACGGGCAGAAAACACCATCTGAATGCTACAGGACACAATGAGACCAATCCAAAGGATCAGAGTGGTGCTCTGGAGAGGAAAGGGAAAGAGATTCATGAGAAAACATTGTCTTTATATGGACCATTCAGGATACCACCTCAGGCAAGAATGCCAACATTGTTGGACGTCGATAGGGATGGTTTATGGTTAATCGTGTGATTCAAAGTTATCATAATTATAGCTAGATAGATGGGAATGCATATGAACATATGGAATTAAAAATGCAACGGGCAATACACCCTTGTAAAAGAAAGCAGAGGGAATGCACAATAAATAAAAAAAAAAAACGCCTTTTGGCTACGTTCACACTGCAGGCCTTCAAGCTCAATTCAGATTTTTTTGTGAAATCCGATTTGTTTGTATGTATATGTAACTTGCATGTGATCTCTTGTGTGAACTGCAGTCATACAATATACAGTAGAGGACGCAATGATGTCACATGCCAGCATGCTCTGTGTTTACGGAAGTAAACATGGATGGTATTGCTGGAGTGCACCTAGCGATCTTTCCCAACCATAAAAACACATTCTTTCAAGATGGTTAAACATAAATACTGCTCTCCGCATCATCGTCTGCCATGGTTGTTCTTTCCCTTGGCACTGCTTATTAGCAAGACCTAGCATAGTGACTAGGGTTGGGAATTGAAAAGATTTTCACGATTCCGATTCCCTTTTCGATTCTATGAAACGATTCGATTCTTTATCGATTCTTTTTTCGATTCCAATTTGGGGGAAAAAGGAGAACAAACAGTTTGATTATCAGAATCAACTTTGTTTACTTAACTATTGCACAATCTTACAAACTCAACAAGGTCAAGATGTCCACAGGAAATGTGAAACTGGAGTAACATCTTTGTTTAAATGAAAAATGAATACAAGAACAACTTAATAACCAACAATGTCTAATAACAAATGATGGGATAATAACCTATTTTAAATAACAAAAAATACTAATTATAAAACAGTAGTAGGGAAAATTAACAGTTCTTTTGCAGAAAGATGAGCATATCTGCTTTTTCTGGAAGGATACGGGATCTTTCAGGGCTTATGGTGTTTCCAGCCGTGGAGAACACCCTCTCAGATGGGGTGGAGGAAGCCTGCACACAGAGGTAGTTTTCAGCCAGTCCAGATAGCAAGGGCAGCGTATCTTGCTTGTTCCACCACCACAGTGTGGCGCTATCCCTGCAGGGGATGGAGGGCAAGCTTTTATAGAGCTGGATTTCCTGATCTACCTCTGGGCTAAGGAAAGACGGGGCTTTGATTCACAAAGTGACCGCAGCTTGTTGTCTTCCTCCTCGAATAGTTCTTCCAACTTGCGTAACTTGCGTAACTTACGTAACTTGCGTAACTTACGTAGAAAACGTGACGTAACTCGTGCTCCCCAGAGCCGGCGCTCTAGGCTCTAGTGCTGCGGGAATCGAAAAAAAGAATCGTTCAGCGAGCTGCCAAACGATGCCATGGAATCGGAAAATACGGAACCGGTTCTTAACAGGAACCGGTTTTCGATTCCCATCCCTAATAGTGACCTTTGTCTGCGACCTTTGTCGCATTTGAAAAGATCTGATTCGTATCGGATTCAGGACCACATAGCCAAGTGGCCTGGGTCGGATTGGAAAAAATCTGATCTGTGTTGTTCAGACAGCCATGAAAAGATTAGATACAGGTCGCATAATGGGCCAAAGAATTGGTTTTGGCTTACTTCAGGCTGCAGTGTGAATGTAGCCTTAGATACATGCTTTGTTAACGACAAAGAATATCCCTACTGTACATTTCCAATGCTCCAATGCATGTTTTGTTTTTTAAATCATTATAAAACATGCAGGAATAGGGGGAAAAAACCCCAAAAACCTTTGTACAACTCATCTGTCATAGGGTAATCTGTGTGAACCAAACACAAAAGCCAAACAACACATTTTTAGTGGTGGAATGTGCCCCCAGCAGACATCTTTGGTAAAACAGCCTCTGCAGTTTCAGCTGACAGTGAAAAAAGTTACCCTAACATGTCAAATTTTATATACACTTAGATATTAAAGAAATTTGTCTCCAGTCTTTTTTTATTGATTTTATATGTGATAAAAAAGTCAATTCAAGATCAAAATACAAAGAAGTATTTAATTATTTAGAGAGCTTACATCGGTGTTTACTGTTCAAAGGCAAACTAGCACAACAACTTCTTGCCTCATAGGCCTGAACTGGAATTCAGGAACAGGTTAAAACCACACCCAATTTTATTCTGCAATAGCTGAGAGTCAAGAAACCAATACGAATTCAGATTATTGTGATCTGCAGCCAGGCCAACACTGATTAGTAATGTTTTATTATACATGTTGTTAATTTAATCAGAAAGAAATTTAAAAAAGTCTAAATACACAGGGCAGCTTTGCTGCCTCCTTTACATTATATGCAAGCTGCAGAAATATTGATTTTTGGATTAGCTCTAAGTCTTAATGTCAACAACAGGGAGCCTCTCTTTATTTTGAAGATTATGAGCTCAGATTATGACTTCAGATTACCGGCAACACCCCTCCATTTCAGTAGCAAGTTAAAGAACTTGCTAGTCAAGAATTAGCAAAATTACTGTGTTCAATGACCAAGCTAGAAGGCTGTAGCAATGAATCTAAATAATCAAAGCTAATCCAAAATAATAGTTGTATAGTGTGGCAAGGATGCATGGCACAAAATTAATCCGAATTATCATTACTGTTTATATATGCTGGTGAAGATTTTCAGTCATCCAGGTCTCAATAATTTCCAAAAAATAAAAATAAAAACAATCCACTGGACTTTGTTTGCAAGTTTGAAGACATTTCGCTTCCCATCCAGGAAGCCTTTTCAATTCAAAATGTCAGGAATAGCGTTGAGTTTGAAAACAAAGCCTTGTTTTTGTATTGAAAACATGCAAATTAGAAAGGACGAAGGGGTCCACCACTTTGGAATGGGTGTCGTTTTGGCTTTTTTTTTTGTTTTACGGCATAGTGGCTCTTTTTTCTGACAGTGGGCTGACAGGAAAGGGGGTATGAGAGAGGGGAAGAGACATGCGGCAAAGGACCAGAGGCCGGATTCGAATCCGGGTCAGCATGGGTTGTGTTCACTAACCACTACGCCACCTACACGCCCATCTTCTTTTGTTAGCCTGCAATGCCCCATACTCGTCTAAGTCTCTGAAAGGGGGGTCGTTAAAGGGAATTGTTGGCCTGGCTGAAGAGGCAAGGTCTTTTGCTCTCCTGTAATGGGGGTGGGGTTGCGATGATAGCAGGATGGGATCAACTTACTTGCTGCATTGTACGTTTTTTGTCCACCCCCTCTGTTTAAAGTTGTGGAAATGTACTTAGCGCTAGGCTTGTCCCGATCCGATCCACATATCGGATCGGACGCCGATATTGGCAAAAAAATGCGTATCGGCAAAGCATGTAAAAATGCCGATCCAGACTGCCGGTCCAGTTTTTTTTTTTTTTTTTCCGGTCCGTATTTTCCAATTTCGCCCATGGAAACAATCGATTCCACTATTTTGCGCCAGTGTTCCCCGAATCCGGTCCGTATTTTCCAGAAAACCTTCAACACACCCACAGGTCTTTTTGGGTCTGTCTCCCGGCCTAACCATTAAAACAGGTGAATTGGAAGATAGCGGGGAAAATGTCAGCCGTGTGGGATTATTTTATCCTGCACAATGTGTAGATGGAGACTAGGTGTAGAGGAGATTGGGGAGTATAAGGCATTTTTGTGTAATAGTTCACTATTATTTGCACTGATTTTTTTTTAAGCAGTGTCTTTTTTCAAGAGTAGAGTCCTGATTCTAAGTTAATAGACTATTTTCCACTCTTGTCTGTTTTGCATTTTTATTAAAACTTACAGTAATATAGCACCTTTAACTGTTTACGGTTTTACTGCTCACTGTGCAATTTCAGATTGCTGATCATAAATTTGTCCAGTTTGTGTTTATCTCTTAATAAACAGGTAAGTTTGTTGTTACCAATCATTGTGTTTTATTCAATCTCACCTAATTCAGCTGGCTAGATGTTATCAAGAGTACTAAAACCCTTTTCAACATGAGTCTTACAACTAAGGCTAAATACTTTAACTTAAACTTAAATACATGCTCGGATAGGCTGGTATCGGCCAGTATCGGTATCGGATTGGAAGTCCAAAAACAATATCGGTATCGGATCGGAAGTGCAAAAACCTGGATCGGGACATCTCTACTTAGCGCAATACCAGTCATTGTTATAGTAGTTAAACCAAGAGTCAGTCAGGTTGAGTCACTGGGCTGTGACCGAAATGTATGCATGTAGACCTGTTAAAATATTTCTAAATTACATTTTTCAAATATTTTTTTGCTTTTTTTCTTACATTTATGAAATGAAAATAGAAAAAAAAAGGGGTTCATCTCTGTAAAGTATGTTTTGCACTCTTCTCTTTGCTCTTTACATTTTAGCTAAATATTTTTGAGATAAAGTTATCTCCAGGACTCTTTAAACCAATTTTTAAAGAAAATCTGAGGTGGATTTGTTGGCATGCTTCAGAAGATTGACCTCATCAATAACCCAAGACCTCTTGATGTTCTAAATCGAGATTCTGTTGTACGGAGCAGAGTTAGTGCTTTCAAGCTGTCCAGGTCAGAGTGGACAGAACAGCTCCAGATCATCACACCAGAATCATGTTTTATCGCAGCTAAATTTTCTGATATGCTGTTTTCGGCATTTTTTTCCACTGACATTTTATCAGATCCTTGAACATTTTTACCAAATATTTGGGTATATTCAAGACTTTTTTACTTTGATTGTTTTCGGCTTTTAAACAGGCTTTTGTTTTCTTTTTCTTTTTTTTCCTTTTTGTTCAACAATGGTTCTGTTCTTGGGTTCATGAATAGCTGCTTGCATATGCACAAATGAGGTGATGGTACAGATCAAGCTTCCAATATGGATCAGGTAGTGACAACCACAACCAGGGAGAAAACAGCCCTGTCACAATAGACAGCCAATCATAGGCGTTTTATTTTCACCAGTGGTTAACACCTTCAAGATGACAAAGGTT